ATCTGGGATTGATCTGGGACTGATCTGGGATTGATCTGGGATTGATCTGGGATTGCCCACACTGTCTGATTGGATTCACCAGATTGGGATGTACCAGCAGACATGAAGGCAGATGGAAAATTATTAATGTCTGCGTGACCAAAAACATTTTCTTCTGTTCCCAAACAACTGTCATTACTGATTCTGCTCTCCCTACATGAGCTTGAAGGGCTGTGGATCTAAATTCTCCTGCAGACTGTCTAAATGAGGCACAGCTGGTCACCAGAATAAAATTACAGCCAAATGAAAAGTACTTGCCCAATTTTGAAAATTTAAAATGCAATTAAATAATTTTTTTATTTTCTAACAAATTAAGTTTTTTATTAATTGCAACAAAAGTAGTTAAAATTTTCCTTTGGGATCTCTAATTTAAATGTAAAACAAATACAACTGTATTCTAGACTACGTCGCAGAACTACAGCTGTATTTTACTCAGTAGAACATAAATACACCTTTTACAGCATGTAAATACATTTTTACTCATTGTACTGTAAATAGACCTTTATATGATGCAATGTAAATAAATTTTTAACACAATGTACTGTAAATAGACCTTTACATGATGCAACATAAATAAATTTTTACACATTGTACTGTAAATACACCTTTACATGGTGTAACATAAATACATTTTGAACACAATGTACTGTAAATACACCTTTACATGGTGTAATGTAACACATTTTAACACATTGTACTGTAAGTACACCTTTACATGGTGTAATGTAAACACATTTTTACTCATTGTACTGTAAGTACACCTTTACATGGTGTAATGTAAACACATTTTTAAACACCGTACTGTAAATACACCTTTACATGGTGTAATGTAAACACATTTTTAAACACCGTACTGTAAACCTGCCTTTATTTCAGACGATGTAGTGGAACTACACCTGACTGTCATTTATCTGTGGTGGATAAAAACCACACCTTCAACCCTCTTGTTGTGAACTTGATGAATCTTTTCCACTTCAGTGAAGTTGTTGAACTGTTTTCTGCCGTTTTGCTCTGTAATGTTTTCTGACGTGTTCAGTGAAAAAGGTGAGGAGGAGGCAGATGATGCAGTTGTTTTCTTTCAGACTTGCTGTTCTCGGGAAGTTGAATAACTTTGTGAAGGAGTGGATCGCAGAGATCAGTGAAGTAAAGGTAAAGAAGTCATTCATATTAAAATCAACACCAGAATAATTTTCTCTGTTACTTCATGGTCTGCTTTATGTCCAACAGAACCTTCCTCCATCAGCCATTGGTTGTGTTGGAGGCAAGATCTTCACATTTGGTTCTTACAGACTGGGAGTGCACACCAAAGGTACGTGTCATCATCACTGAGTGTTAAACTTTGGTTTACTGCTCTCAGCTTCCTGTGGGACTGACAGCTCTGGGACAAACAGGAGCAGTTATCCAGGGATAAACAGCTGTACACCATTATTGTTCATAAAAAGCTCCATTTGTTGGTGTGTTTGGCTGATTGTTTGCTTCACTGTGAGAGTGTGAGTCTGCTACATGTCTGCCTCTGAGACCATCAGGAAGACTTTAAATATTTGGATTATTTCTGAAATAACTTCAAACTGACAAAAGTTGACTGGTGTCCCGTGTTGTTTAGTTCACATTTAGCACAAGTCAGACTTATAGACTGGTTTCAGGTTTGATTAAAGGTATGTATTTAATGAAATGAAAGCCACATGGGTAAAAACAGATGAATATTTAGTGGCAGCACCAGCTGTATTTATCAGTAAATCCTTTGGTTCAGTTGTTCTGAGCTCCAGTTTTTCTTCCTCACTTCCAGAACCTTCTCCCAGAAACCGTTGTTCTTGTTAATGTGCTTTTCGTGACTTCCTGTCTGTGTTTTTGTTTTTCTCTCAGTAGTTGACCTCCTGGGTTGTCTTTGGTAAAGTGTGATCATAAAGTCTCAGACTTAGTTTAAATAATTTCAAATGATTTCCTCCTGGGAGAGGGTCTACGGTCCCACCAACTTCCTAATTAAAATATAGTTTGTATTTATTGACCTTAGCTGTGGTCAGAGACCATGAAGCTGTTTAAAGTCTCATTATTGAACTGCAGCAGGTCACAGGCCGGCTGTTTGTTACCACCTCACTCTGTGGCACAGGGGGCATCAGGGTGGGCTGGTGCACCCCCCAACCACCGCCTCGGTCCGTTCAGAGATCACAGCCAGGCCACCAGAACTCTGTGGACTTCTGGAAAGTTTTGTTAGTCAGTTTACTGTGTCGTTTCCTAAAGTTAAGTGAAATAAAGTGGTGTTTCAGTCCACAGCTGTCCTCACTGAGCAGCAGCTCAGATGGGTTCATTCTTCTCCCTCTGGATGTTTCAGGAGCTGACATCGATGCTTTGTGTGTGGCTCCACGTCACGTCGAGAGGATTGACTTTTTCCAATCTTTTTTTGAGAAATTGAAACTACATGAAGAGATTAAAGATCTCAGAGTAAGTATTCTGCTGTTTGCTCCTAAAACAAAGAGAAAAGACATTTTTAACAAACTTGTTTTGTTTTTATCCTCCCTTCAAGGCTGTAGAAGATGCTTTTGTTCCAGTGATAAAATTTAAATTTGATGGGATTGAGGTGAGTTTGTTTTTATTCTGATAAATCACAAAGTAGAAGTCAGCTCAGAGCTGAATAAAACCTTTCTAAAGCACCAGAGAAAGTCCTCTGAACTGTCAGAACCTGGCCCGAAGCAGCACCGACACAAAGGCAGACGTGGCAGTGGAAGGTGTCAAAGCAGTTTGGAGAGAAAAACAAAGTAAAGAACAAAACAAAACAAAAAAAACGATTAATCGATTATTAAATTAGTCATCGATTATTTTAATAATAATCGATGACTAATAAAAGTTAAACTCCTGTCAAATAATCACAAGACATGATTATAACAAACATTTTTATATTGTAACCTGACCATAAAAGTTATTTGAACAAACGGTCAGTCAACAGACCACTTAGGCTTATATATAAATATATATAAAACAGACAATTCAATAAATAAAATTGTGGGCATAAAATAAATAAATTAAAAATGTTTAAATGTTTCAAATACAAAAAACTGTAAAAATAAATGTGATAAAGTACAAATGAAAATAAAGCCTTTTTAAACTTTTGCAACCAGAAGCTGCTCTTCATATTAGTGACAAACTTTGGTGTTTTTGATGAGTTACTTTCATTTTTGTTTCTACTTTTCATTTAAAATAAGTTTCCATTCTCAGCAGGTTTCTAAGGTTCTTCTTCTACATATTAAAAAGTTGTTAAACATCTGAGTGGTGCACTACTGCTACTAGTGGTGAGAAAGTGTATTACACCTTATTTAAAATCAATGTGGTCCCACGGCCCTCTGTGGCCCAAAGTTAAAAACTGTTGTTCTTTTGAGGCCCTCAAGGTGGCGCTCACGGCCCACAATTGGGCCGCGGCCCATCGGTTAAGAATCTCTGGTGTAGAGAAAAACGAGTGCACRTTGACCATAAAACCCTTTCATTATAAAATATGAAAATGTTTGTAGAATCCATGAAAATGTCCTTCAGAGTCCACAGTGTAAAGAACAGACCTGAACCAGGACCAGTGGTACCAGCTTCAGGTTCCTGACAGTAGAAGACCTCACATGGGACACAGCAGCTGTTCCAGTCCACACTTCCTGTCCTTATTTTATATTATTTTAAAATGAATGATGGGATTGAAGTTGTTTGCAAACACTGTGTTTAGTTTTAGTTCCAGTATTTAAAATGTTGTTTGTTGTTGTTTTTAACAGAAAGGACTTTTTCACTGCTTGTTTTTGTTTGTGGGAACAGATCGACCTTCTTTTTGCCAGACTGGCCCTGCAGTCCATCCCAGACAACCTGGACCTGAGGGGAGACTCCATCTTAAAGAACCTGGACATCCGGTGTATCCGCAGCCTTAACGGTACTCTGCAGGACTTGTGTTCACATGATGATGAACACTTGGTTCTGTGGGTTTCACTGATGCCTTCTTTCCTTCTTGCAGGGTGTCGAGTAACGGATGAGATTTTGTACCTGGTGCCAAACAAAGAAAACTTCAGGTTGACATTAAGAGCCATCAAACTTTGGGCCAAACGTGAGTGAATGAAGTCTTATGAACCTGCGGTGGTAGCTTTACACCTGAACAACCGTTCCAAATAAAGATCCAGAAGGATGCACGTCTCTTAAGTAGTTACCAAACAACAGTAAATTTAAACTGCCCAGGTCTGACGCAGGTTTGAAGAGTGGACCAACACTGGAATGACAGGGTGCTGTGGTTTGATGGAGAGTTTACAGAATATGAAAGATATTTATCACCAGGATAAGAGTTCTGTAGAAACCTACAGGACACACTCATCCTGGGAAAAACATGGAGTGAGTCTAATATTAATCATACAGTACATAAAGAGTGAAGTTAGAACCATATCCTGTTTTATAAAACTTACTCAAGTTTTGGAAGATGTTAAATAATTAGCCAATAAGATTCCTGTGCACYGTACAACAATGTGTTTGTGTAATTTATCTGAAGAAAGTCTACAAAAAGGGACAGAATATTGTTAATATCCAGGGAAAAGGGAGAGAAGGGACTCCTCACTGTGACCCAGTGGACACAGGTGGTTGAAGAAATGTAGATTATGAAGAACATGGCACACTTTCAGGCTACAGGAAGAAACAACAGAAAGAAAAAAGGTCCAAATGGACTTTCTACAGAACACAGAGCCCTGGACAGTGTGAAGGAGTGGGTAAAAACAATATGATTTATAAAATAAATATGATTTATTTAGCCTCATAATCAACACAAGAACCAGGTGAATTTAGTCTTTATTTAACCACAGTGTTTCCAGAGTGGAAAGGTTTATTAAAGCTACAGTGTGAAGGATGGTCTCAGTTTATATCTGTAAAATCCACAGCTTGTTCTGGTTTAACTGGAAGAGAAAACCTGTGAGGTCTTTGCCTCAGCTCTAATGTCACGGGCCGAGGACTTTAAGCTGTTGTTGTGTGCTGTTTGTCTGCAGGCCGAGGAATTTATTCCAACATCCTGGGCTTTCTGGGTGGGGTGTCGTGGGCCATGTTGGTGGCCCGGACCTGCCAGCTCTACCCCAACGCTGTCGCTGCTACACTTGTTCATAAGTTCTTCCTGGTTTTCTCCAAATGGTGCGAGTTGAACTGTTTTACTACGTTATATAACAGTGATGGTTTTATTTGCTTCAAGCCTCTGTGATGATGATGATGATGATGATTGTTTCTTCCTCCAGGGAATGGCCAAATCCTGTTTTACTGAAACAACCTGAGGACAGTAATCTGAATTTACCTGTGTGGGATCCCAGAGTAAGGTCACACTCATTGATTCTAACAGTTACTCATGTTGTTTCCACGTTAGTATCAGGCGCTGTGCTCCACCTAACAAATCCATCCACCTCACAAAGTAGTTCCTCCTAATAAACACTGGAAACTGCTTCTTTACTTAGCTTACCATGGATGGCTTTGTTCTGTCTTTAACAATGTTGTCAATTTGAAAGTGAATTTAAATGAATTTTTAGTGATTCCTTCTGTTTTTGACTTATCTACGGTCAAAGGTCAGTGCAGTCTGACGCCCTGCATGTGTCATTGGATTTATCATGTTCATATATAAAATATACTTCCTGTGTTAGGGTTATCATGTTCATATATAAAATATACTTCCTGTGTTAGGGTTATCATGTTCATATNATATACTTCCTGTGTTAGGGTTATCATGTTCATATATAAAATATACTTCCTGTGTTAGGGTTATCATGTTCATATATAAAATATACTTCCTGTGTGGGCAATAATCAGGACTATCTGCTCCTCTGAATAGAGTGATAAAAATGTCGCCCTGTGGACACTTTCTGCTGGTTTTAGTACATTAATAGGAACAATAAAGCCACTGTGAGCTCATCAAATACAGGAAGAGCATTCAGCAAAGGTTTTGTCCCACAGAGGAAATATTCTGTTATTATAGATTTGGAGGGTTGAGGTTAGCAGAACGTGGTTAGGGAAATAAAAACTGGGACTTTTTGACCATTTTTACCTTAATCTGTGGTGACACGCGGTTTCTCTGCTAACTCTGTGCTAACTGTGCTAACTCTGTTTCTGTGCTAACTCTGTTTCTGTGCTAACTCTGTTTCTGTGCTATTTCTGTGCTAACTCTGTTTCTGTGCTAACTCTGTTTCTGTGCTAACTCTGTTTCTGTGCTAACTGTGCTAACTCTGTTTCTGTGCTAACACTGTTTCGGTGCTAACTCTGTTTCTGTGCTAACTGTGCTAACTCTGTTTCTGTGCTAACTCTGTTTCTGTGCTAACTCTGTTTCTGTGCTAACTGTGCTAACTCTGTTT